TTAAATTCAATAAGAGTGTCAGAAAAACGGTTCTTGATATAGAAAGGTAAATAAATTATTTAACCTATAAATTAAAATCACTTTATTACAAATCAAAATAGCCCAATAGCTTTATTAACATAAGACATAATTGTACGAGTGCTTACAATACTTAACATTATTTTACTGAAATCTCAGAAAGTTTTTTTTAATAGAATAAGGGTGACAAACGAGCACACAATCCACCTGATGGTAAGTGGTTGCTACGGCCCATACACATCTACATCTATTCTCGATTACGTATCAAAATGTAGATGCGTTGTCACCCGTGAGGACTAAGATGTAATGCCTCGTTTCCAGTAAACAGGTTCTCCGGTTCTCTACACTCACCATACGAAACACAGCAGAGTCAAACTGCTATTTACATGTTATTCCGTGAGAGCGTGGCCCTTCCCCGGTCGAGCCGACCCATTCGTCATATACCTACTACTAATATAGCTGCAGCATGGCTCTACCACGTAAGAAAAAATTGACGTTGAAAATTTAAGTATTTTTAAAAGCAACTTTGCAATTATTTTCTATTGAGTTAATTTTTATGGAATCGTGGTTTGCAAACTGCCACCTGAAATACGTACAATTTTTTTTTCGATAATGACGTGAAATTACAAAACGATCCCCATGCATGTCAATGTGGCTCTATTCAGCCTCTTAATATGAACATCCCTCGGGATTCAGAGATTTTAAAAGTTTTCATGCGTAAATAATGGAAGATATAATATTATATTATTACTGTCCCGTGTGAGGCAACCTCTATACTTATTCTATTTTATTATATTCTCATCATATTTTTATGGTTGGTTAGAAAAATTATATCTAAATGCAAACTTTCACAGGGTAAATTTTTTTTACTATTTTTACCCAGCAAGTAGTAAATCAACTACAATCCCATCGGTAAGTGGTTATGTAGTCTAAGATGGTGAATTGCACTGACTTAACAAAAACCTATTCACTCTTGCCTAATAGTACTAGGTAAGTATTATTTGCGACCTATTTGTGTGTGTGTGTGCGCGTGCGTGCGTGCGTGTGTGTGTGTGTTTGTCTCTCTCTCTCTCTCTCTCTCTCTCTCTCTCTCTCTCTGTGTGTGTGTGTGTGTGTGTGTGTGTGTGTGTGTGTGTGTGTGTGAAGAAAAGCGTATGAGAATACGTGAAGAGGAATAAAAGTTGAGTACTAATTCGCTTACCTGTACGAGGTTGCCACTAGAGGACCTTTCTTCCTATTTTTTTATCTATTTTCCAAGTTATATAGCTAGCCCATTGCCATTTCACTGTAATATTCCGTTGGGCTATGTCATTTACTCTGGTTCTAATGCAAATATCTTCATTTCTAACTTTATGGCGTAGAGAAACCTCTCTCCAATTTAAAATTTTTACATTTTTTAGACGATAGTTTGTCTAACATAAAAAACCATAAACCCAAGAATAAAATAATAAAATAATAAAATAACGTTTAGTAGCAACGAAATTTTTCTAGATACAAAGGAGCTCTGTCTCCTGAACTGAGGTTATCACCTGTATCTCAGGAAACAGTGCCTTCCCTAATTCTTAGTGCTAAGTCCATATTCGGTAAGTACATAAGATGATTCATTATTCCTTAATTAATATTATTTTATGGCGGTTACTGCTAGGTAATGTTTAATTTGGTGTGTGTGTGTGTGTGTGTGTGTGTGTGTGTGTGTGTGTGTGTGTTTGCGCGTGTGTGTATGTGTGTGAGTGTGTGTGTGTGTGTCTATGTTTGTCTATGTGTATGTGCGTGTTGTAATAGTAGAATTTTAATATTGATTTTATTTTATTTTAATATTGTAAGAAGATTTTCAGTTTGGACATAATCAAGATCTTGCAGCCATTTCAGTATATATTTTTTAAATCTATTGGTACTTAGAGTTATAAGGCTAACAATATTCTCGGTGGGAATTTTATTATAAATGTATGGAGCTATGAAATTGTAGTGTCGTTGCATAAAGGTAGAAGAATGTTTTTATATAGTTATTTATACTTAGGTAAACAACATTCTTTTATTTATTTAAATTGTTTGATTTAATTTGATAACAGTGTACCTAAATAAGTAAGTATCTGTATCTTTATTCCCTCCCCAATAATATTTTATAAAGTCATACTCATAAAAACAGCGTTTTATTGTAAAACATAATTATAAAATTCAGTATCAACTAATTAATAAAAATATGCAACAATAAAATTACATAGGTATTAAAAACTATCGAAATCTAAGTAACTAGAGCATGTTCGTCGTTCCACATCTAAATTATATAAAAATGCATTTTTCAATTTTACTAATCAACGTCGCCGCGAAAATTTCTTCATCTTTGGGCACTTTAAAAATTCATTTATTTAGAAAATAATATTTATAGTTACCAGTGTACAGATTTTAACTAAAATAAGTATTTCTAGTCATAAAAATATTTATTATTGAGTATATACTTTTAAAAAACTAATATATATTTGAACGAAGTCGCTCCAACACCGACGTGCGGTCCACCCTCGACGATGTCCGAAAACGGACTGTGACAGAGCATACATGGCGATGGAGCATGCGCGCTCGCGTAAATATATTCATTTTCAGGGAAAAATGATATATTCTCTTATAAAACGGGTAATAAAAATAAAACTCTCAATTAAAAATATTAATATTTTTAAGACCTTTTTTTTAGTGTAAGAACTATTTAAAAAGCTTGTGCCGGTTTGGAGAAATTTTGCAAAATATGACAAAGATAGGTACTCTTTGGGGATTTTTTTTTCTAATAAGGGGTTGACAAAAATACAATTTTGTTAAATTAAAAACATTTACCAAATCTTCTTCTGTTACCCTGTATTTTTTCTTTGTGGATTAAATGAACAGTTATTGGGATTTTTTTACTTAAATATCCTAGATTTAGGCATTTCAACCACTGTTAAGGCCTTAGCGATCCGCGTTTGGAAGATTGCATAGCTATCGAGTTGGAACAAATGAAAATTAAGTCTGGCGAATCATTTATCGATTTTTGTCATAGGATACAACATATGCAAAAGCAGCTAAAATGATAGTGTATAATAACATGTTACTAAATGTATTCCTTTATAATTTACCTGAGGATTTAATTCGTATCATGCGTCTTAGACAGTGTACTAGTTTAGAATCCGCTTTAAGTGTCGTAACCGAGGAAGTGAACTTCATGAACCAATATAATGCTAAAAATAAAACGAAACAGAATACAGCATCCCAAAGTTTCAAACTCCAACAAAGTGCAAATATTTTATTTAATAATAATCAATAGTATTTTAAATTTGCAAATCCATGATTTGGACCACAGAGTATATTTAAATTTGGTATCCCTCATCAGCAACAAGGTCAAAGATTTGTTGCTCAAAAAAAATTTAATAATGGCCCAAGATTTAATAATGATACGGGACCACAGAACTTTAAGCTTGGTGTTCCGAACCCGCAATCTAAATTTAAATTTGGCTTACCTCAACAACATCAGGGCTTTAAGCCACCCATGAATAATTATGCGCGACCCCCACTAGCTTTTACAAATCAACCTCAAAATAATTTTAAATTTGGTATACCCAATCAGAATTTCCAGAAACAAAATTTAAATGAAAATACCGATGTCTCTATGCGTGCCGCACGTCAGCTAAGACAAAATATGCTAGATGACCGTAGGGTTCCCCAAAATAACGAAATATTCTATAGTAACGAACCCTAGATACCCGTGAAACATTATAAGCATGATATAAATTACTGTGACGAAAATAATTACACATATAATTTAGAAGTGCCCCAATTCGAAGTAGAACCGTGTAGTAAAATAGAAGATGTAAGTTAAAACCCTGATATAATTTCGCCCCCGAAATAATACAAATAAACTGTGATACGATTTTAAAACTCCTGCACATCAAAATACCGGAAATTCAGGCTCGTTTTATGATAGACACCGGGAGCACGAGATCTTTTATAAGTCCAGCTAAGGCAGAACAATATTTCTCCGCTTTCAAATTATATGAACCTTTCGAAGTTATAAGTACGCATGCATGTAGCCAAGATAACGAAACTATATATCCCGCTCTTTATAACAATTAAAAGTTTAGAAAAACATAAATTCTCTATATACGACGACGATAGTAGATACGACGGTTTGATATGTTTGGATCTTTTAAAACAGCTTGACGCTTCAACATATATGAAAAACCAAGTATTGCACACACGTGACACAAATATACCTATTATTTATAACCTCCCACATGAAATAACATTTTTTTTTAATTCTCTGTTACTGCTGCTATACATGCAGCACCATTTGTCACTATCGTTGTTTATTTCGTATACTTATATATCCTTTTTTTTTAACTTAACTTTAAATATGCTTATTACTTATATCCTACTAACTCTTATATACTTCCTAACTTAAGATTTAACTACTTTTGCTTTCTTTTTTTTATCCTTATCTTTTACTGTTTACAATTGTATGTATTCTTATGTATGTATTCTTACAATTATTAATTAAGTTATATAAAATATGGTACTTAAGTTAAGTTATTAAGTGCGCCACCCGTTATCTAATATAATATACATCTATATCTAACATATTTTGTTATATTTTCTTTCTTTCTTTTTTTTTATATTTTTTTTTGCCTTTTTCCTTTTATATTTCTTTTCTTTTCTCTATGTAGCATTTTTTTTTTGTTTTTATTGCCAATGCTTTTCTTATGAATTTCTGTTTTTTTCTTTCCTTCCATTTTTTTTTATTTTTTTTTATATATTAATTTTCCTTGGCTATATATTATACATATTATTATGTTGTTATGGAATACTATTACAGCAAGTACTATTTACAACCATTTCCTATACTATATTATACAATAAAAAGTATTTATTGCTCTATATGTTTTTATTAATTGCTCGTCTACATTTATTATTAATATCTAACACATTTAATATTATATAATTATTAATCTACATTTTTATAATTAAATATCTACTTTCGATCCATTTGCTTTTCCTGCACACCTAACAACATATTCTGCATATTTAAGAAAATGGATACGGCAGTCATCATTGTTAATTACATACTTTAAATTTGTTATATTGATTGCAATTCCCATCTTATGCTCGCATTCCATTCTTTGAATAGTGAATCTAGGACAATCTATTAGCAGGTGTTCAATTTTTTCTTCTATTTCATTACTGCAAACACAAGATGGGGATTGCGCCAACTTGAACTTAAACAAATAAGCCTTAAATCCTCCATGACCAGTTAATAATTGAGCTTTAATATTGTCCATTCTTATCTGTTTCAGTGTCTTGTGAGCTTCTCTTACGTCAGGGAAGAAATTTTTCGTGACTGCTCCTGTTGCTGCTTCACTATATCGTTGCTGCCACTTCACGCAGGTAGAGTCCCTGGTTAGTCGCTTCGCGAAGGATAGCGGACACTTGTCATAAACTGGTGCTTGTTTGTTGAATAGTGCAGCCTTTTTGGCAAGCTCATCAGCCCTTTCATTGTCAGGTATACCGATATGTGCCTTTATCCAGTAAAATTTAACCTCGCCGTTTTTATTTACTAATGATCTTATGCGCTCTCGTATTTCAGCTGCCAAAGGATGAAGGGACGAGCTGTCCGTTAGACACTCTAGAGCTGAACGTGAATCGCTTAGGATTATTCCTTTCTTCAATTCGCCGAACTTGCACATCATATCTAATGCTTTTAATATTGCGGTAAGCTCTGCCTGATAAACGCTACAATAACTTTCTAGCCGAAAGGTAGACTTACGTATTTCGCTGCCATCTTTTCATACACTGACAGCGCCACCAACTTTCCCTTCCAGCTTGCTTCCATCCGTATATAACCTTGGCTTTAGGCAGTCTATTGCTTGTTCCTGATCTAGAGAGCTTATCAGCTCAAAAGACATGCGACATCTTTCAGCAGGATGGGGTAGGCAAAAAGGACTTATTGGTTTTTCGATGTCTCTTCCCGGAAGTTGGTCCAGTGGCTTTCCTTGTTTTATTTCGTAGAGCGAAAGTCGTTCCATTGCTCTTAAGTCGAGAGGGAATATTCCTGCCAGTATAACGCTAGACGTGAAACAGACTGTTCTGTGACCTTTACAGATTTTGATTGCGAACATTCTTGTTATGCGCTCCAGTCTTTTCTTCATATATTCTTTTTTCACCGTCATAGCCCAGACATTTGCTGCATAAAGAATGGTTGGTTCAACTACTGCTATATATATTGTTTTTACCATATCAGAATGAAGTCCCCAATGAGCTTTAGCTGTTCTTGCTATCATTTTGTAAATTTTTATTGCCTTCCCGAGGACTTCATCTAGATGTTCTACGAAGTTTAAATTTTTATCGATGGTGGCGCCAAGTACTTTTAGACTTGTAGATGGTTGTATAATAATTTTGTCCATTTTAATTATAGGTAATTCGTAAGATAACTTTTTGGTTATTACGATAGATTGTGTCTTATGTGGTGCAAAATTTAATTTGTGCGTTTTGCCCCATGTTACTATTTTCTCTAAAGCTGGATTAAGTTTGTCTTCTACATCTTTTGCTGAGTTTCCTTTTGCGATGATAAGAATATCGTCAGCAAATGCCTGAAGATGTACATCCATATCTGAACTTAATTCAAGAAGGGGGTCGAGAAGGATGTTCCAGAGTATGAGTCCACAGGTCGATCCTTGTATGCATCCTTTAGTTGTAGGTTTGGTGGCTATTGCTCCTGCATATTTCACTATAACACTCCTTGAAGACAGATAGCTGGTAATGAGCCTTAGGTTGTGTATGTTCACATTCTTCCTTTGGATTTCTTTTATTATTTGGGGCCACCAAGCATTGTCAAAAGCCCCTTCTATGTCGAGGGATACCATCATAACTATCTTCTTTTCTTTTATGCCTTGTTTTATCACTGTCATTATGTCATATAGTGCGTCCTCTGTACTACGTTGTGGCATAAAACCATATTGTCGATTGCTGAATTTTCCTTCCCTTCCAAGCTGCCAGAGTAATCTGCCTACAAAGAGCTTTTCTAAAATTTTTCCAAATACTGGCAACAAGCCAATTGGACGATATGCTTTAGGTACAGTATAGTCTACTTTTCCAGGCTTCGGAATAATTTTTATGATTGCTTTTTTCCATATCTTTGGGAAATAGCCTATTTCAAGACATTTATTATAAATAGCCAAAAGGATCGATGGTGTTGTTTTATAGCTCTCATAACAGATATCCAAGGTCATACCATCCTCCCCAGGAGCCTTTTTGGGATTCATTTTTTGAAATACCATCTCTATTTCTACTTCAGTGAATTTTATATAAGTAGTATCTGTATAATTTTTGAGGCTTCTTATTATTATATCAACTTCCGCTCGGATGTTTCTTTGTTCTTCAGTATCTTTATTATAGTATACTCTATACGTGGTAGAGCCATGCTGCAGCTATATTATGGTTGTAGCACGAATGGGTCGGCTCGACCGGGGAAGGACCACGCTCTCACAGAAAACCGGCGTAAAATAGCAGCTTAACGCTGCTGTGTTTCGTATGGTGAGTGTAGAGAACCGGAGACCCTTTTTACTGGCAAAGAGGCATTCCATCTTAGTCCTCACGGGTGACAACGCATCTGCATCTTGAGTCTTTATTGAGGATAGATGTAGATGTCTATGGGTCACAGTGACCACTTACCATCAGGTGGACTGTGTGCTCGTTTGTCACCCGATCCTATAAAAAAAAAAAAAAAAAAAAAAAGTCATCATCAGGGTAGAACGTTTTTGCTAACAAAGAGGCCGACTCATTTGGGCTCAGAGTCCGTTCGCCAAAACAAGAGCAAGAGCTTGTCCTCGTTTGTAGTGCTGCATCTCCTAATAACTCTATAGATACTCTGCCATATTGTTTCTTTTTCCTGTTTTGAGCACAGTTCTTTCCAGCTCGTATTCATCGTTGTTATTATGCTATGAACGTATTTTTCTTTAGCTGTAATAAATTCTTGAACTACGTAGGGCTTTCGATTTTCATTTGCATATTTTATTTTTCTTCTAAGTCTAATAACTTCTTTCCTCTCAATATCTAATTCTTTAGTCCACCAAGGGGTACTAGTTGTATATACCTTCTTGGAGATAAGTGGAATTGCTGTTTGGCATGCGATGTGAACCTGTTCAATATATCTATTTACATTTTCTTCTAATTCCTCTGTTGTTTTTATAGAGTTGATTTTTTCTTCCGTAATTTGTTGTTTCTGTAACCCTTCCTTTAGTGTGTCCCTAAACAGTGGCCATTTTGCTTTAGCTGTATTATACAGACGTGTAGAATTTCTGAAAGCAACACTTTTCTTATCTATTTCAACGTTTATCTGAAACTGGATAGCTCGGTGGTCAGAGAGTGTAGAAAAATTCAGATCTACTCTCCATTGTTCTAACTTGTGTAGGAGGGCTGAAGAGCAACAAGTCACATCTATTAAACTACTATGCAGTTTCCCAGCTCGGTATTGATAAAATGATGGTTCATCGCCTTGATTTAATACATTCAGATCTAATTCTGCTATCATTTCTGACAAGAGCATGCCTCTACTGTCCTCCCCTCTGCTTCCCCACCAAGGACTCTTTGCGTTGAAGTCGCCCGCCAGGATGATATTTTCCATTTTCATGTCTTGAGCGATCTTCGTGATCTTCCTAATGTCTTCTTCCAGGTTGCCATTTTTTTCCAAATATACATTGATTATGCCTATGCTATGCTTTCCTACTTTAGCTATAAAACCTACAATATTCTCGGTTATATATTCCGAATTTTCTACAATTGTGTAAGTGGGATTAACAACGATGACTGCTGATTTAACTGGCTTGTCAACGCTATTAGAGACTTTTTGTATTACGCGACGGTTACAGGTAACATGAGCTTTAGAACCAACGTATGGTTCTTGAAGTAAAAGAAATGCAATACGTTGCTTAACCGCCATTTGTAATGATTTTTTGTAGGCCGCCATCCCTCGTCCAAGATTAACTTGTACGAATTTGATGGCTTGTGATTCACTTGGGATTGTGCTTTGTGTGATAGGTATATTATGTGGTGTGGTCAGAATCAACTGTGGTTGATCAATATTTATTGCCTGTTCAACTTTAGCAATATGCTACTAAGGATCTTGCTATTCTATCCCATTTCTGCCATATTGGGCAATCGGCACTGTATGCTGTATGGCAATAGTCCCCCTTAATTTTGTTTCTGACACAGTTCACACAAGATGGTGCTCCGTTGCTGCGTAAACATTCCCTACTGTCATGATCCTCCGCACAGTAACCACAAGTTTGTTTGTCTGCCACGCATTCTTTCGCTCTGTGACCAAATCCCATGCATCGGTAGCATTGGATTACTGGTGACTGGTCAATGGCTGGAACTATTTGATAGCCAACGTGCACTTTTTGACCTTTAAATGCTTTCCAGACATTAGGGCTTACCTCCATTATGATATTATTGACTGCTGATGTGCGGCCCTTGATTCGTCTTAAGACTTTAATTTTAGTTTTTTCCTTTTCCACGTCTTTTAACAGCTTAGCATTTTGCTTAAATAGTGCTTCTTCTAACTTTGCATTACTTAAGTCATTTGTTACTCCTATTAATTTTAATAGGGGTTTTTTTGTGATTGACTTAGACACTGTAAGCTTTTTATCTGAATTTTTTATCGCCCTTTGTAATGTGTTACGGTCTTCATCTGTGTCACACGTAATAACTACCTTCTGGTTTCTGGCTCTTCTAACTTTAATGACTCCCACTCCCAATTGCACCACATCAACATTAGTCTTAATAGCACTAACAACATCCTCACTTGTATGCCGTGGGTCAGAAGATTCTATTACGAGAGAAAAGGTAGGGTTAGTGAGAACTTCAGCATAAGATCTTTTTGGACCGGCCGCTTGCTGCTCTTTAGAAGCATGGTAGTTTAGGTTATCAGTGGTTTTGTTCATCATCATAGAGCTATTATTACATGCTTCTAAGTGCTCTAGTTTTTCCTTGATTTCTGCTATTGCAAGCTCTGTGCCTAGACCAGAGTTGTTTTGGTATGCCCACTGACTAGTTCCACTTTCTTTTAACTCCCTTATTTCATTCGACAGTTTATCAACTTTTAATGTCAAAGGTTCTACAGCTGTTAATATGTCGTCTGCCGATATTACCTGTGAAGATTTGGAGCACTGAGGTCTTGTTTGCAACTCTTGAATCATGTTTTTAATTACTTTGATATTGTTGACATTAGGGTCTATTTGTGGCTCTTTTAACTCATCCATTGCCAAAGTAATGCTCTTAATACTTTCCTTATCTGCCATTTTATCCCTAAGGTCACCAATATTACGGCTAAGCACTTTTATTTGTTCAATCACCTCCCTTATCTGATTCGTAAATACCATTGTGTTCTCGATGGGTAAAGTTTCTCGATTAACAGTGGAATAATTGGGGGTTTCATTAGTACTTCTAGTGGATATTCCACTAATATCCTGTCGAATTTGGTAGATAGCCTTAATAGGGTCATCCATTTCATAGTTAAGCCATCCCCTTATTGACTCTACGGATTTTTGAGTTTCTTGGATGACTTGTTGGATGTCCCTGAACTTTTGAAGCTGTAAGGATTGCAGGTCTGAGATTTGTTTGTTATGTGCTCTCTCGACTCTTACTAGTTCTTTTGCTGCTCGACTACGCTCTTGTTCTAATGCGAGCCGGTGTCGAGAGCGTGAGTCCGAGAGCGATTACACCGTTTCATAAAGTCCTTGAAGGCAATCGTGAACTTCCTGTTTATACTCGCGCTTCATCTTTCCCGCTCTCTCTAATGCTTCTTTGCCTGAAAGCAAGAACTCATTGGCGCGTTGTGTTGCAAGGTCCATTGAAATTCCAGCCCGTTTATATGCGGGCGGTAAAATGCTTGACCTCCTGCTTCCACCACATGCCACACTATCAGAATCCGACAAGTCGTCATCAGTACGGAGTACAGGCTTGCAAATTCCTAACATGTCAAGCTCCGCCTCCATATCCATCGTAATAGAGGTGTTGTTTTCAGAGGCAGTGTCATGTTGATGTGTATTTCTGGCAGTGATATTTTCCTGCTCTACATGTTCCTTCGCAATTATAGTACAATGTAAATTGTCTGGATTTTTGGACCTGGATGTTTCAGTCATGGCCCTTTGGGAACTCTCCGTATCTGGGGCAGAGCTAGTAGTTTTTTGCGTTGAGGTTGCATTTTGTAAAAGAACCTTTTTCCGTAGAGTTGGTGCTGATACCGGGCTAACACCTCTAATAGTTCTACTGGGGGGTTTGGATTTTGCTAATTCTATGCATGATTTGGTGGATTTTTTTGACATTTTTTTTTTGTTTTTGGTAGAGTTAAATTCTGATAATATGACTAGGGACAGATATCGGTACAGTGTCTACGCTAAAAATCGCAGTGTGACACAAGGCTTTTAAAGTTTTGGGTGCAGACTCTACGTAGAGTCAGAAGGTACTTAAATTGATAGAGCTGAGTCAGCCAATAACTTAATTGAAAACCGCAACTCGATACGAGCCTCCGTTCCAGAGTTATGATAAAATGTAATTACATTGTAACCAAGGACGGAAACGCGAGTCAAGGTCCCAACGGATATGCAAAATGGAAATGCGATAATAGATTATGTCGTTCTTGGTTCAAGGAGTTAGGATGCCAAGCGCTATAGTAAAATGAGTTAATTCGGTTGAATACACGATGATACGAAATGCGCCCGACGATAGGGTTACCATGATGTTCTTTAAGCCCCTAAAAGTGACCAAGTATATAGCTGAAGAATGCAGACCGAACTTCATGAGAGATAATTACAAGATAGATGAACCGTTAAAACAAAACTTGTCGAAATTACGTCTGTATCATGTAAATGAGGAAGAGCGTGAATGTATCAAAAAACGGTGCTATGACTATCGGGACATATTCTATTGCGACGATGTTCCGCTCTCATTCACCAACAGTGTAAAAAACAAAATCCGTACTAAAAATGAAGATCCCATATACATTAGGCCATCAGACATCCACCTGCAATAAATGAAGAAATACAGAAACAAGTCAAAAAGCTTCTCCAAAATAACGTCATTAAAGAATCTCACTCACCTTGAAGCGTACCTGTCCATCTGGTTCCCAAAAAAGTCGATGCTTCAGGTGAAAAAAACATATCGTATGGTAATTGATTATAGGCGTTTGAACGAGACCACTATAGATGATAAGTACCCATTGCTAAATATCTCACACCTGTTTGATAAATTAGGGAAATTTATT